GAGAGAGAGAGAGAGAGAGAGAGAGAGAGAGAGAGAGAGAGAGAGAGAGAGAGAGAGAGAGAGTGCAGACTTCTTTAACAGCATCTTTTGCCCCCTGCCCCCGGCTGGAGACTGAAGCCAGGGCCTTCACCCGCACTGAGCCACATCCTTAGCCCCTTTTACTTTTCATTTTGAGCAGGGGCTTGCCAAGTTGCTCAGGTGCCCAGGCTGGCTGGAGCTTGCAGTTCTGCCTCAGCCTCCTATCGTGGTGAGAGGATGGGTGTGTGCACCACGCCCAGGTCCTTGGCAGCCTCGCTGAGGGTGGCACTTGCTCCTAGAGTGGTGCCACATACACTTTGGCTCGCTAAAGAAAGACAGATTCTTGGAAAGAAACAGCCCACCCATTCACACTCAGAGCTTGCCGGCCGGAGCAACGTGGAGCTGCCAGGTGATGCCTGCCCGGCTCCGGGGCTCAGTGCGCTCTGCCACGCTCAAGGAACTCGGCCTCCCTCAGCCTGAGGGCCAAGTGGGTTTTATTTGCAGGGGGCAGGAGAGGAGAAGCGAGTCACAGAGGCGGTGCCCAGGGAACACAACACAGAGTGGGGAGGGGACCTGCAGAGAGGACAGAAGGCTGGGGGAGAGAAGGGCAGGGTGAGTGAGGGGCAGGTGGGTGCCAGTCCAGTCTTCTTTGTGGGCTCACTTGTTCAGGGGCATTGCCTGGGTCCACCTGGAGCAGGCTGGGACCCCCAGACCTCTGTGCGCTCCTGTGGTAACCTGGGAATCAGGCAGACAGAGGAAGAAAGGGACACAAAGCAGAGGGCATGTGGGCCCCAGGCCCCAGCCAGTGGAGAATTCAGGGGCAGGAGGAAAGGATAGTCGAGGACAGGGACAGCTCCATGGGGTGGCAAAGGCCCTTTGGGAAGGAGGGGGTCATGATGAGAGGACACAGTATGTCCCCAGGACCTAGACTTGCACAGGGTGGGGGAAGAGGGTCCACTGAGACAGAGGCACCTGAGTCCCCGAGCCTGCAGGCCTCACTGCCTAGCCTCCCCAGCCTCCACTTCCAGCCCCGAGGCCTCCCGGTCCCGCTGTCGCCAGGGCTGCCCCAGGTATCCCTGGATGGCACCTACAGGGCTCCTCCTTCGTGGGTGAGGGTCCAGCAGCCCCCACAGCAGGGTGTCAGCCGCGGGTGCTAGGCCAAACCAAGGCTGCGGCCGGTCCTGGGCCTGACCTGAGGCCCGCCACGCCAGGAAGTCCTCGTAGAAGGGGTCGGTGTCCTCCAGTGGCTGGTCCCAGGGGAAGTAGCCAGTGAGGAGACAGAAGACCAGGACACCCAGGGCCCACGCATCCAGGGCCGGCTGGATGGGGAGCCCCTCAGGCAGCGGCGGTGGGGCGCATAGCTCAGGGGCCGTGTAGGGGATGGGCGGTCCGGCCAGGCGCAGCAGGGTCCCGCGGGGCCTCGTGTGGCCGAAGTCAGCCAGCTTGACATGCTGACAGGCGGGATCACACACCAGCACATTCTCCGGCTTTAGGTCCCGGTACACCAGGCCGTGGGCATGGATGTGCTCTAGGGCGGAGGCCAGCTGAGCTGCGCAGCGCTGGGCTGCAGGCTGGGGGAGCCCCACCTGTGGGGACAGGAGAGCTGGGTCACTGCCTACCTGCTGCTGGGGAGACAGAGAGCACTGCACCTCACAGCCCCAGAAGCAGGCCTGGGAAAATCGAGGAGGCTGCAAGCCTCCAAAAGGATAGGCCCCGGGAGGTCTGGTATGAGCCTATAAGGTCCAGTGAGACCGGTGACCTGTAAGACCTAGCGGGGCCTATAAGGCCCAGTGAGACTGGTGACTCTGTGAGGCCTAGTGTGTAACTCTATGAGGCCTAGTGTGTGACCTTGTGCGGCAGTGTGTAACCTGTGAGACCTACTGTATGACCCTGTGAGGCCTAGTGTGTGATCTGTGAGGCCTACTGTGTGACCCTGTGAGGCCTACTGTGAGCCTATAAGGCCTAGTGTGAGTCTAGACCTAGTATAAGCCCACAAGCCCCAGTAAGGTCTAGTGTGAGCCCATGAGGCCTTCTGAGGCCTAGTATGAGCCTTTGAGGCTCGGCATGGGCCTGTGGGGCCTGGGAGCTCTGCGAGGCCTAGGGTGAACCTCCAAGGCCTGTGAGAGCCTGTGAGTCTAATGACCTCAGGAGGTCTATATGAGCCTTCCATAGGGAAGGCCTCGTGGGACAGGTAGGCCTAGTCTGTCCTGCTGAGGCCCACGAGCCAGGAGGAGCCCTAAGTGAGCCTGTGAACCCCATTGGTTCTGGTGTGGCTAAGGGTGGTGGCACCAGGGCTGTGACTCTCACTGGAGTCCAGCATTAGCTCTGTGCACAATCCCAGCTGCCTAGGCTAGGTGTGGCCTGGGAGGTATGGCGCTGGATGTGACCCGCAGGCCAGTGTCTCAGAGTGCTCCCCTGAGATCTGAGCAGGCTCCCAACCCTGTGCCCAGCCACCCAATACCCACCTTGGGCTGGATGAGGGCAATGAGGTCCCCGTGCAGGACAGGCTCTGTGAGGAAGCTGTAGGAGCCAGCCGACTCGATGCCAATGCCATAGGCCGCCACAATGGCCGGGTGGGGGCCCAGCGCGAGGCCCACGCAGAACTCATAGAGGAAGCTGCGCAGGGACGTGGAGGGCTTTGGGAGCTGCTTCAGTGCCAGGGACGTGCCTGGGGCAACAGGGATGGGCGTGGGGTGTGCAGGGGGCTGGGGTCACTTGGGCCAGCTGTCTGACCTGCCCTCCCTGCTCCCCACAGTGAGGCCCACCCTGCTTTCTCGTGTCTCAGGGTGGAAGGAAGCCAGATGGGGCAGGGTCCGGGATGCAAGGGCTCCCAGGAAGGCGCCCCTCTATTCCAGGGCCGCGCCACCAGCCACCACCCCGGCCTTACCCACCAAGGGGCTGCATGTGACTGGGGAGGCCACCTCCCCCAGTGTGCGCCAGCCACCTGTCCACCCCTGCAGGGGCATCGCCGCATCTTCCATACCCACCATGCCTTGGGTTTCTGTCACCATGGCCCACACCACTCTCCTGCCCCTTGTGCTCTCTGACAGCCATGTCACAGGCCTACAGCACCCCCGTGGCATTGAGACAGTGGCTCTGTGGACACAGGGGGCTGAGGCCCATGGACAGGGCTCTGGGCCCCATGACCACTCAGGCTGCATCTACTTTACAACTTAAACTTTACCCCAGTGTGGACGCGCAGCAGAGCGACACGGGTTCGGGCACTCTGGGGGCCTGAGAGGTATCGCTATGTGGTCAGAAATGAACGGTTCACAGCCAGGCATGGTGGCGCATGCCTGTCATTGCAGCACTTGGGAGGCTGAGGCAGGAGGATCGCCCTGAGTTCAAGGCCAGCCCGAGTTACAGTGAGTTCAAGATCAGCCTGAACTAAACAACAAAAGAGCGGCTCTTTCAAGGAGGAATCATCACCGGCCTTAGCTGTGGCACGTGCCCTTCATCCCAGTACTCTGAGAGGCTGAGGCAGGAGGATCCAGTGTGAGCCCAGCCTGGTCGTGTAGGGATTTTAAAGAGACATTCTCAAAAAATTAGAAAAGGGGGGCCGGGGAGATGGCTCAGTAGAATAAGTGCTTCCCTGGCAAGAGCAAGGGCTTGAGTTCAATCCCCAGATCCGGAAAAAAAAAAAAAAAAAATTAGAAAAGGGCTGGGGATGTCACTTGGGTTAAATCCTCAGCACTAAGGGGGTAAATAGGACTAATTACTCATCTTTTCAAAGGAGATAGCTGAGCCTTAGGGTTTAGAGAGGCTAACAGGGCTCCCCAATCTCATGGCTTAGAGGGGGCTCGTGTAGGGCTGGATCCTGTTCTATGGGATGCCTGCGTGTGGTGCCCCTAGGCCCGTGCCCACCCCTGCTGCACCGGGTACCTTTCTCACGGTGAGTGACCAGTACGACACGGCCAAAGCGGCCCTGGCCCAGGGGCCGAACCTCCCGGTAGAGCTGCTCCACCTCGGCGCGCACCAGCGTCTGCGCACTCAGCGCCATCCTGTCCTCCAGCGCCAGCGCTGCAGCCTGGCCCTGCTGCAGCTCCTCGGGCGTGAGGCCGCCAAGGCTGTCCTCAGCACCGTCCTCCGAGGCTGCCCCCTCCGCCGGCCCAGGCTTGGGCTGCTTGCCTGGCATCTCTGCCAGGACAGACACAGAGGTGAGCTGCGCTCTGCAGCCTCCAGGCCAGGACCCCTTTCCGAGGGAGGAGGTCTACTCTTCAGGTTGAACCTCAAGCCTTGTAGTTGGGGCCCCCTGCACCTCGCCCAGGCTGGACAGCGCAGGACCCCACCGCCCTCATTGGCCAGCCCCACCTCGCCCATGGGGCTCGCAGCACCTGTTTGCGCTTGGAGACAGAGGCTGCGGTCCACCCCCAGGCCCAAGTCTGTTTGCTTTGGAAACAAGGTGGGGGTGTCCCAAGTGATGTGGTTCATCTTTCACCCTCGGGCCATCGGGTGGCAGCAGGAAGGGGCGGAAATGTCTGTGACCTCCCCGTTGACCTCACTCTACAGGGACTCTGGTATCTCCGCTCCCCACAAGGTTTCATAGGATGGGCTCTGTCATGACGCCAGTGGACTCAAGCCCCTGTAGATCCTGTGCTCCTCGAAGAATCCGTGCCTGAGCCCTCAGCCCACCCCTGTCCTGGTGGGCCCAGCGTGGCCTCCTCCTCTGGCTAAAGGTGCAGCTGTGCCCCCGGGAATCAGGCCGGGCACTGGCTGCTGTGCCTGGGCTGCCCACCCCGGCCTTGGACCTCACCCTCTCCCCAGCCTGGGCTCAGAGTCCCAGCTCACCTCCTCGAGGCTCGCCTGTCCTGTCCGCGGCCTGCAATGCCTGGTGCCCAGCTCTTGGGCCCTGCCAGCGCTGCCCAGCGCAAGGCCCGCCCCATCTGGGGGTCGCGAGGCCCCACCCCTGCCCCGCCCTTCGTGCCCCACTGGGGCCAGGGCGACACCATGCGTTGAGTCCCAGAACTGGAGGTGGCTGGGCCGATGCCCCGCCAGGGCCGTGGGGTGTCCAACCTCTGTCCTCCCTGGGCCCGGGCCTGGCGGCAGCAGGGCACAACTCACCTCTGTCTCTGCCCTGGTGGAAGTGCCAGGAAAGAGCCCGAGCCCAGCCAACAGAGGTGGCAGCTCCACTGCACCTTGATCCCACTTGACTCTGGTGTAGCCTGGGCCCTGGGATTGCTGAGGTGTGAGGGTGGGGGCTGGGGTGCCCTGGGGCGCAGGCCCGCATCTGCAGGGCGAGGATGAGGCAACAGATTCCAGAGCCACGCAGTGTGATGAGCTCACCACGGACAGCAGGTGCTGGACAACTGCAGCAAAGGCTTCCCCTGGCCCAGGCAGCTGCTCCCAGCCCTTACTGCAGGGTCCCGGGGGACATGGAGCCGCTGATGTCCAGCAAGCCACTAGCCTGGCAGCTCATGGGTTGGTGAAGCAGTTGCTAGCCCCCCTCCCAGTCTCTCCCTATTTCTCTGGAACAGTCAGGGGTGGTGGCTTTACCCTCACCGAGGGTCCAGGATGTGGTCCAGGATGTTGTATGACACTCAGTGAACCCACACTTATTTATTTATATTTATATCTATTTATTGTACCAGGAATCGAATTCACAACCTCACACTTGCCAGGCAGGTACTTTGCTGTTGAGCTAAATCCTCGGTTTTCACCTTTGGGGATTGAACTCAGATCCTTGCGTTTGCCAGTCAGGTGCTTATCCTACTGAGCCATCTCCCCAGCCCCTACCTTTTTTTTTTTTT